GAGGAAGAAATACAATGTTTGTTATCGCGCATGGATTTTCAGTTCGAGATCGTGATGTTTACCGAGACATGGTATCGCGATGCTACAGAAGTGATCAAAATTCCAGGATATACTTCTTTCTTCGTAAACCGCAGCTTTAAAAAAGGAGGCGGGGTCATGATGTTAGTGAAAAATGGCATGAATTGTGTTATTGTGGAAGAATTTTCAAGAGCCACTGCTGATTTTGAGGTTCTCACTGTCAAAAATGGTGCTAAAGTGTACAGCGTTATGTACCGTCCACCTCATGCGAGTGTGTCAAATTTCTTCACATTTTTAGATAGTTACCTTAGTTATTTTAATGATGATGCCAGCACTGTCATTCTAGGAGGTGACATAAACATAGACTGCTTGCAACAATCAACAAGTCATGATGAACTTTCTAGGATCTTGGACGCGAACAGTTATATTAATGCAATCAGTCTACCTACACGAATACAACCAACTTCTTCGACACTACTAGACGTCTTTATTACAAATATTTCACCCGAGCATCTTAGTTCTGGCGTCATCAGTTCTTCTGTGAGCGACCACCTACCCATTTATCTACTATCGGCGCAAACAAAACCCTCCACTGCGTCACGACACCCGTCCACTAAATCTTACAGACAGATAAACTCTTTCACGCTGAATAACTTTCGCTCTCATTTGCGTGTAACAGATTGGGGCAAAGTATTAGAAGTTGATGAACCCGAGACAGCGTACAATGAGTTCATAAATGTTTTTAAGGCAGCGTATGAACAATGTTTTCCACGTAAATTAGCGAAACGAGCTCGGAAAGCCCGTAAGCCATGGGTCACCGGGGAACACCTCAAGAGCATGAAAGAAAAAGACAAACTGTATCAGATCTTTATGAAAACAAGAGCTTTAACAGATTTACACGCTTTTAAGCGCTTCAGGAACCAACTGAACAAACAGCTCCGAGAAGCGAAACAAATTTACTTAAGCAATCTTTTCACCCCAGAAGTCCTTAAAAAGCCACACCTTATGTGGAAACGATTGAACACTGTGCTACACGGTGACCCCCAAGAACAATCCACTTTATCAATTAATAGTAACGGCGAAGAATTAACGAATGCACGCTTGGCGAATTCCTTCAACGACTTTTTCACATCACTTGTGAATAGTAAGCACGATCCGAATTGCATTCAATATTTAACAGCACCGATACAGAAAAGCGCATTCTTGTGTCCGACTACTGTGCATGAAATTATAACATCTGTTTTGTCACTAAAAAACAGTATGTGTACGGATGTTCATGACTTCCAAATCAGACCTATAAAATTTGTAATCGATATTATCGCACCAATTCTGGAACATGTTATTAACCTCATGTTTTCTGTTGGCACATTTCCCAAACAACTACAGATGTCAAAGGTAACTGTAATATTCAAGGGTGGTGACATCAATAATTTCTCCAATTACAGGCCAATTTCAATTATTCCAGTCTTTTCTAAATGCATTGAGAAATTGATATATAAACGCATGTCCAGTTTTTCAACGAAGCATAGCATTATTACGCCTTGCCAGTTTGGCTTCCGGAAGGGATGCTCCACTGAGATGGCTCTATTACGCCAAAAGGAGCTTATCTTACAATCTTTCGAAGATCATCTCTGTACACTAGGCATATTCATTGACTACTCAAAAGCATTTGACTCAATTAACCACGATTCCTTGTTTGAGAAACTGCAGCATTATGGCTTTAGAGGCACTTTCTTAAAACTTATAATTTCTTACTTTAAACATCGCCACCAGCAAGTCACTATTAATGGTTTTGTATCCGAATTCAAACCAATTAAGGCTGGTGTACCTCAGGGTAGCATTTTGGGCCCATTGCTCTTTAATTTATATGTGAATGATATAGTAAATATTTGTGCTAATACTAAATTTATCATTTACGCAGATGATACAAGTGTTTTTATTACAGGACGTGACCCTTCAAACCTCATTGAAAAAGGCAACGTCGTCCTAAATAAAATTCACACTTGGAGTATCGCCAACTCTTTGAACCTAAACGCGGCTAAAACGAAAGCTGTTATATTTCGGCCTCAAAACAAAACACTGGGCATCACAAACAGTCTAAAGTTAGGTACATCAACTATAGAATTATCACGCGTTGCTAAAAGCCTGGGAGTCATTTTTGAAGAGCATATGACGTGGACAGATCAAGTGAATGCCACCTTAAATAAACTTTCAAAAACTGTAGGTATATTGTCAAAGTTTCGTTACGTCCTGCCTCAAAACATAAAATTGTTAATTTATAAATCACTATTTTTGTCTAACTTATCTTATTGTCACTTAGTCTGGGGCACGACCACCAAAACCAACGTTCAGAAATTACACAAACTTCAAAAGAAAGCCATTCGTAACATCGTTAGTGCCGCATACGATGCCCACACGGAACCGATTTCAAGGCTCTGCACTTATTCCCAGTACATGAGCTATATCACACAATTTTAAACAATCGCTATAAGTCGGCTATAAAAAATAACGACACATTTTTCACAGAATTGTCGGCGCTAACTCGCGCTGAACATGTGCGAATTTTGAGGACTCGTGAAGTCTGGAGATTACCAAGACCACGAACCAATTACGCAACACAGATGTTGAAATATCAGCTACCGCTACTACTTAACATATCCGAAAAACATAAGTAACACTTCCGCGTACTCAATTCGCATGTGTATGATGATAAAATGTACCTGTGAATCTCTCTCTCCCCCTTCATTTTGAACGAGTGCATCTCTGTATACTGTACCAGTGCCTTTTCTCGTATACCAGTGCCTTTTCTCTGTATACTGTACCAGTGCCTTTTCTCTTTATTGTGTACATTTTTCAGTTCCACTAGCTCGCTTATGTTGTTGCAATGAAGATAACTGTTATGTGCCCGTTTTTGCCTTTGTACGTCACGATTGTACGCCACTCTGTACGCCACGTTTGCCAAGCCCGGGGGTACGGACCCTGTCAAGCCTCATCTATGGCTTTTTGCCCGTACCAACCAAGCTCCACTGAATGTCTTTGAAGCTGAAATAAATCATGATTGATTGATTGATTGATTAATCTGAACATTTAAATGTCCTTGGCTCGATGCCGGGTTTCGTCGTCCAAAGCACGATTTGTTAAATCTGTCGGTATACAAGTATTTTGCAATAATTCTAACGAGTGAAACGGTTACGCAGGTGAACACACATGCTTGCTAAAGAAATGCTGATTCCGATTGCATCGCGGCAGTAGGCGTTGCAAAAGAACCGGAACAGCGTGAAAGACATGTAATAATGTGCAACAGCTCTAATTAAGCGATTTTACCCAAACGCAAGAACTGTTATATCGCGCTGTCACTCTTCTCCCGTCTGCCGAAATAGCTCAGTTGGGAGAGGGTTAAACTGAACATCTAAAGGTCCTTGGCTCGATCCCGGGTTTCGGCGTCCAAAGCACTTTTTTGTTAAATCTGTCGGTATACAAGTATTTCGCAATAATTCTAACGAGCGAAATGGTTACGCAGGTGAACACACATGCTCGATAAAGAAATGCTGATTCAGATCGAATCGCGGGAGTAGGCATCGCAAAAGAACCAGAACAGTGTGAAAGACATGTAGTAATGTGCAACAGCTCTTATAAAGCAGTTTTACCGAAGCGCAAGAACTGCTAGATCCCGCTGTCACTCTTCTCCCGTCTGCCGAAATAGCTCAGTTGGGAGAGCGTTAAACTGAATATCTAAAGGTCCTTGGCTGAATCCCGGATTTCGGCTTCCAAAGCACGATTTGTTAAATCTGTCGGTATACAAGTATTTTGCAATAATTCTAACGAGTGAAACGGTTACGCAGGTGAACACACATGCTTGCTAAAGAAATGCTGATTCCGATTGCATCGCGGCAGTAGGCGTTGCAAAAGAACCGGAACAGCCTGAAAGACATTTAATAATGTGCAACAGCTCTAATGAAGCGATTTTACGCAAATGCAAGAACTGTTAAATCGCCCTGTCACTCTTCTGCCGTCTGCCGAAATAGCTCATTTCGGAGAGCGTTAGACTGAAAATCTAAAGGTCCTTGGCTCGATCCCGGGTTTCGGCGTCCAAAGTACTTTTTTGTTAAATCTATCGGTATACAAGTATTTCGCAATAATTCTAACGAGTGAAACGGTTACGCAGGTGAACACACCTGCTTGATAAAAAAATGCTGATTCAGATTGCATCACGGGAGTAGGCATTGCAAAAGAACCGGAACAGCGTGAAAGACATGTAGAAATGTGCAACAGCTCTAATAAAGCAGTTTTACCGAAGCGCAAGAACTGCTAGATCCCGCTGTCACTCTTCTCCCGTCTGCTGAAATAGCTCAGTTGAGAGAGCGTTAATCTGAACATCTAAATGTCCTTGGCTCGATGCCGGGTTTCGTCGTCCAAAGCACGATTTGTTAAATCAGTCGGTATACAAGTATTTTGCAATAATTCTAACGAGTTAAACAGTTACGCAGGTGAACTTACATGCTTGAAAAAGAAATGCTGTGGCAGATTGAAGCGCGGCAGTAGGAGTTGCAAAAAAACCGGAACAGCGTGAAAGACATGTAATATTGTGCAACAGCTCTAATAAAGCGGTTTTGCCGAAACGCAAGAACTGTTAAATCCCGCTGTATCTCTTCTCCCGTCTGCCGAAACAGCTCAGTTGGGAGAGCGTTAAACTGAACATCTAAAGGTCCTTGGCTGGATCCCGGATTTCGGTGTCCAAAGCACGATGTGTTAAGTCTGTCGGTATACAAGTATTTTGCAATAATTCTAACGAGTGAAACGGTTACGCAGGTGAACACACATGCTTGATAAAGAAATGCTGATTCAGATTGCATCGTGGCAGTAGGCGTTGCAAAAGAACCGGAACAGCGTGAAAGACATGAAATAATGTGCAACAGCTCTAATAAAGTGGTTTTACCGAAACACAAGAATTGTTAAATCCCGCTTTCACTCTTCTTCCGTCTGCCGAACTAGCTCAGTTTGTAGAGCGTTAGACTGAACATCTAAAGGTCCCTGGCTTGATCCCGGGTTTCGGCGTCCAAAGCACTTTTTCGTTAAATCTGTCGGTAGACAAGTATTTTGCAATAATTTTAACGAGTGAAACGGTTACGCAGGTGAACACACATGCTTGATAAAGAAATGCTGATTCCGATTGCATCGCGGCAGTAGGCATTGCAAAAGAACCGGAACAGCGTGAAAGACATGTATTAATGTGCAACAGCTCTAATAAAGTGGTTTTACCGAAACGCCAGAATTGTTAAATCCCGTTTTCACTCTTCTCTCGTATGCCAAAATAGCTCAGTTGGAAGAGCGTTAGACTGAAAATCTAAAGGTCTTTGGCTCGATCCCGGGTTTCGGCGTCCAAAGCACTTTTTGTTAAATCTGTCGGTACACAAGCATTTTGAAATAGTTCTAACGAGTGAAACGGTTACGCAGGTGAACAACCATGCTTGATAAAGAAATGTTGATTCAGATTGCATCGCGGCAGTAGGCGTTGAGTAAGAACCGGAACAGCATGAAACACATGTAGTATTGTGCAAGAGCTCTAATAAAGCGGTTTTACCGAAGCGCAAGAACTGTTAGATCCCGCTGTCACTCTTCTCCCGTCTGCTGAAATAGCTCAGTTGGGAGAGTTTTAAACTGGACATCTAAAGGTCCTTGGCTCGAACCCGGGTTTCGGCGTCCAAAGCAATTTCGTGTTAAATCTGTCGGTATACAAGTATTTTGCAATAATTCTAACGAGTGAAACGGTTACGCAGGTGAACACACATGCTTGATAAAGAAATGCTGATTCAGATTGCATCGCGGAAGTAGGCATTGCAAAAGAACCAGAACAGCGTGAAAGACATGTAGTAATGTGCAACAGCCCTAATAAAGCAGTTTTACCGAAACGCAAGAACTGTTAAATGCCGCTTTCACTCTTCTCCCGTATGCCGAAATAGCTCAGTTCGGAGAGCGTTAGACTGAAAATCTAAAGGTCCTTGGCTCGATCCCGGGTTTCGGCGTCCAAAGCACTTTTTTGTTAAATCTGTCGGTATACAAGTATTTCGCAATAATTCTAACGAGTGAAACGGTTACGCAGGTGAACACACCTGCTTGATAAAGAAATGCTGATTCAGATTGCATCGCGGGAGTAGGCATTGCAAAAGAACCAGAACAGCGTGAAATACACGTAATAATGTGCAACAGCTCTAATAAAGCGGTTTTACCGAAACGCAAGAACTGTTAAATCCCGCTGTCACTCTTCTCCCGTCTGCTGAAATAGCTCAGTTGGGAGAGCGTTAAATTGAACATCTAAAGGTCATTGGCTCGATCCCGGGTTTCTGCGACCAAAGCACTTTTTGTTAAATCTCTCGGTATACAAGTATTTTGCAATACTTCTAACGAGTGAAACGGTTACGCAGGTGAACACACATGCTTGATAAAGAAAGGCTGATGCAGATTGCATCGCGACAGTAGGCATTGCAAAAGAACCAGAACAGTGGGAAAGACATGTAGTAATGTGCAACAGCTCTTATAAAGCAGTTTTACCGAAGCGCAAGAACTGCTAGATCCCGCTGTCACTCTTCTCCCGTCTGCTGAAATAGCTCAGTTGGGAGAGCGTTAATCTGAACATCTAAAGGTCCTTGGCTCGATCCCGGGTTTCGTCGTCCAAAGCACGATTTGTTAAATCTGTCGGTATACAAGTATTTTGCAATAATTCTAACGAGTTAAACAGTTACGCAGGTGAACACACATGCTTGATAAAGAAATGCTGAATCAGATTGAATCGCGGCAGTAGGCGTTGCAAAAGAACCGGAACAGCGTGAAAGACATGTATTAATGTGCAACAGCTCTAATAAAGCGGTTTTACAGAAACGCAAGAACTGTTAAATCCCGCTGTCACTCTTCTCCCGTCTGCCGAAATAGCTCAGTTGGGAGAGCGTTAAACTGAATTTCTAAAGGTCCTTGGCTGAATCCCGGATTTCGGCGTCCAAAGCACGATTTGTTAAATCTGTCGGTATACAAGTATTTTGCAATAATTCTAACGAGTGAAACGGTTACGCAGGTGAACACACATGCTTGCTAAAGAAATGCTGATTCCGATTGCATCGCGGCCGTAGGCATTGCAAAAGAACCGGAACAGCGTGAAAAACATGTATTAATGTGCAACAGCTCTAATAAAGTGGTTTTACAGAAACGCAAGAATTGTTAAATCCCGCTTTCACTCTTGTCCTGTCTGCCGAAATAGCTCAGTTGGGAGAGTGTTAAACTGAACATTTAAAGGTCCTTGGCTCGATCCCGGGTTTCGGCGTCCAAAGCACTTTTTTGTTAAATCTGTCGGTACACAAGTATTTTGAAATAGTTCTAACGAGTGAAAAGGTTACGCAGGTGAACACACATGCTTGATAAAGAAATGCTGATTCAGATTGCATCGCGGCAGTAGGCGTTGCAAAAGAACCGGAACAGCATGAAAGACATGTAGTAATGTGCAAAAGCTCTAATAAAGCGGTTTTACCGAAGCGCAAGAACTGTTAGATCCCGCTGTCTCTCTTCTCCCGTCTGCTGAAATAGCTCAGTTGGGAGAGCGTTAAACTGAACATATAAAGGTCCTTATATCGATCCCGGGTTTTGGCGTTCAAAGCACGATTTGTTAAATATGCCGGTATACAAGTATTTTGCAATTATTCTAACGAGTGAAACGGTTACGCAGGTGAACACACTTGCTTGATAAAGAAATGCTGATTCAGATTGCACCGCGGCAGTAGGCGTTGCAAAAGAACCGGAACAGCCTGAAAGACATTTAATAATGTGCAACAGCTCTACTAAAGCGATTTTACCCAAACGCAAGAACTGCTAAATCCCCCTGTCACTCTTCTCCCGTCTGCCGAAATAGCTCAGTTCGGAGAGCGTTAGACTGAAAATCTAAAGGTCCTTGGCTCGATCCCGGGTTTCGGCGTCCAAAGCACTTTTTTGTAAATCTGTCGGTATACAATTATTTCGCAATAATTCTAACGAGTGAAACGGTTACGCAGGTGAACACACCTGCTTGATAAAGAAATGCTGATTCAGATTGCATCACGGGAGTAGGCATTGCAAAAGAACCAGAACAGCGTGAAATACATGTAATAATGTGCAACAGCTCTAATAAAGCGGTTTTACCGAAACGGGTTTTGTTTGGCTGGCCGCATACAGTGCTCCACTTTCACGTGTTCTTGGCCCGTTACCGGGCCCCGCCCGTGTCTGGACAAGCTCACTATTCCTTCTGGAAGACTTCCGGGACACGCCGACAACATCCGAGCCCCGGTCCGACCCCAGGCTGGCCCCCCAGGCCCCTTCAAAAGTATGAAGCGACGCGGCGCCGCGCTAACCCTAACGCGCCGCGCCTGCACCTAAATGATGCAGAGTCCCGCCCAGCACTCGACACCAACGACAACTTACGCCCTGTCGGTAAGCCCAGCCTCCTCCGGTCGTACGCCTGATACAGCCGTGCCTCCGCATCACCATCTGGCAATGTCACCAGCCCCGCGCCGACAACAATACAGCAACAGGCAGCGTTCCTCAACAGCGCGCACGGTCCAGCGATGTGCAACGCTGGTGGCGTGTCTGCTACTCTCAGCTTGATAGCCACGCAAACGCGGGAGCCCGAGAGCCGTAATGCAGCGTTGGCATTGCAATCAACCACGCATGCTGCTCTCCCCACCTTATCTGCGTCTGGCCTACCCATTGGAAATTCCGAGTCTGTCGACAAGC